CTGCTGCTGCTGCTACTACTACTACTACTACTACTTCTGCTGCTGCTGCTACTACTACTACTACTACTAATACTACTACTACTACTACTACTACTACTACTTCTGCTGCTGCTACTACTACTACTACTACTACTTCTGCTGCTGCTGCTATTACTACTACTACTACTAATACTACTACTACTACTACTACTACTACTTCTGCTGCTGCTACTACTACTACTACTACTGCTGCTGCTGCTGCTGCTGCTGCTGCTGCTGATGATGATGATACTACTACTACTAATGATAATATCTTCAAACTTTCTCAAATTAAAAAAAATCTACAAAAGTAAAATAAAAAAACAACATTGTGCAGGGGTGTAGATGCTTATGACACTAAAAATAAGTTAATTCTAAGCTAATTACATTTGAAAATTTGAACTGAGGTGGTTCTTAAAACAATTTTTAGTTTACTGGCCTTTACACTTGTAAAAATAAATACTAGCCAAGACATTTATAAAGCACAGTAGTAAAACTGTCATCTTATTAAATGTAACCACGTAATTCCAGGAAAGTCATAGTTTCTTCTTAGTTTGGCTCCATCTAAAAGCTAATACATCATTATGTATAATGAGAAGTCAGTTTTAACTGTTTGGGTCTCAGAGTTTGATGCATGTTGTAGGAGGAGGAGTAGCTTCAAATCAAATCTGCGTTCACTGAGTTTCAGCAACCACTGATGGCGCTTTGAATTCATGTGGCAGCAGGCGATTCATCATGTAACATTACCACCCAGTGGAAGGAAGGAAACATTTGATATGATTTTAATACAGTGTGCTTGTCGTTATAAAAATCTTCAGCATTGTTATTTATTTTTGTTTATTTGATGATAAGAGGCCACTTAAATAATATGGAGAGCTTTTGTTTGAGCTGGACTATGGGTGACCCTCGTCCCCAACCCACCACCCCGTCACCATCTTCAAAGACTCTGCGCATGTTAGTGGGCAAGTTTAACAGCTTTTACTCAGTCAGTGGCAACTGGAAATTGGCTCTGTGCCTGGTAACTGCAGAACACTGACACAGCAAGCCCCCCACAAGGCAATTAGATCATTAGTCTATTTAAAGACCAAAATTTCAAGGTGTATGATTTAATATTTGTGCCAATTTTCCAAGAGTGGACTTAGATTTCTCTAATTACAATCCTCATTATTGACGTGCATCATGAATTTTTACAGATGAAGTTATGGAAACGTGTTTCTTGAGGTCTGATGGTAGAATGACTGGTACCTGCTGTGAGGTAAAAGTAAACTCTAAAGACTTTATTCTGCCTCATGCTGTCAGCAAGTGCACAAAGTCTTTCAAGTAATCCCTATTAGGCCAAGACCTCACAAATCTGATTACACAGGCTGCTCACAAATTCAAAATACTTTGAACCACCTGTGATACCTGTTGGGCACTGAAAAAGGTTCATCTGTATCATATAGGCTAAACATTATATGCACTTTAACAAACTTTCATTATTTGGCCATCCTTCCTACGTACTTACTGAAGCACCTGCCTTTTAACTTCTGTTCATCTGGATTTTAATTAATCTGTTACAGCAAATAAAATAAATTTATTGTTTGTAGCGTACAAAAATGCAAATAAATAATAAACTTTTTTTTCAGTTAAGTTACCAACAAAATGCATTGGTGACAATAATAAAATATGGTTTGAACACAAAAAAATGTAATAAAATAAAAAGACAAGCTTCCTAAAATGAATGAAAAATACAAATTAATGCCTGCATTTTCAGTTTGTTGAAATTTAATATTTCCTTTTGTCCTTACCTTAGGTGATGATTAAGTGTTAGCAAAGATTAGGCAAATTGGCCGTGATGTTGCATGTCCAAAAATAGCACTTGAACGGCGCTGAGAGGCTTTGACGAGCCGCGGAGCAACAACAGACACACTTATTGTCATAAATGAGGAGAAATGACAGCTTTACGGTGAACTTTGTTTTGTGACATCAGTGGTTTTCAGGTCAGTTTTTATCTTTTTGCCTGTAAAATGTAATATATTTGATTATTTCTGTGGTGGAGGAGTGTGAGGCCTGTGCTCACGTTCAGCTAGACCTGCAGTTCACTGAATGAGTGTGGAGTTAGTAGTTTAAGAGGAAATATGTCTCTACAATGATGTAGTTTCTCCTACTATTTACGCTGGTTTTACATAAATCATATGAGAAATCTTAAATATCTCAGCAATAATATTATATATCTTGACAGAAGAGTTTCTAATTTTAAGTCCAAGCATCCCTGTTTGGATTGTGCTATATTTAGGCCTGAACAACTTTATATGAACTGCAACGTTGTTCACTCGAGCAAAACAAAACATGAAAACCATGCATAGCCTGTTTAGACACTTTTGCTGATTCTGAGCAATGTAACTCAACAATATATTAAATCTTAGTCATGCTTTTTATGTAAAGTCTATAAAACTGTTTTATACATTATGTTTATAATCACATTGTTATGCTTAAGGTTCTACATTGTTGTATTATTGATTATTTAAATATATTAGCAGCTAAATGTATTATCTTGGCCATGCTTTTATGTTGAGGTGATAAACTTAAAGGACAGTAAAATACAGCAATTCTTCATACAAACCATTATAATGCAGTAGCTGATTGTTTACTAATACTTTGATGAAAAATAAAAGTATCATTTATGAGAAATCCATGTTTGGTTTCATACATCACTGGCAGGTTTAAGAAACAAATCGTCAACTTTATTTGAAAGGAACATTTACAGTGATTTTACTGCTTAAAATGTGAATATTTTATTTGATCTTTTTTTTCCAGCCACCTTCACCCACTATGAGTAGCACATCTGGACAGGAGCCCACAGCCCAGTGGCTGCCTTCTGGCAGTAGGCAGACGTTACTCTCCAGAACTTTACAGCCCACCTCTGAAGCTTCAGCTTCTAAAAGAGTGTGCTTCTACAAAAGTGGTGACTCTAAGTTCCTTGGCCATCGTATGGTCATCACTGCCCGCACCTTCAAGACATTTGACTCCCTCCTGGATGCTCTGTCCAAAAAAGTGCCGCTGCCGTTTGGCGTGAGAACCATCACCACTCCGCGGGGGACTCACCTTGTTAAAGCTTTAGAGGACTTACAGGATGGCGAAGCTTATGTGTGTTCTGATCAGAAACGTGTGAAGCCTCTAAACCTGGATGAGGTTAACCAGCGCCAGGTACCTTGGAATACAACCAGACCAGTAAGTGCAGGGAGACGGAGGCGTAAAGAGCCCAGATTGGGTCCGTTTGGCAAAAGGAACGATCTTGTCACCAGGCCAGCAAAGATCACTGAGAGGGCGACGGTACGGACTCCCAAGAAGCTTGAAGTTCTCAAAAACAGAGATCCCTCAGTTAGACGTACGATTGTGCTGCAGAGAAGAACGGCGCCTACATTTGATGCTTTGCTGGATCACCTGTCCCAGATCCTGCAGTTTCCAGTGCTAAAACTCTTTTCTACAGACGGACGAAGAGTAAGTGATTGTTAAATTGTACTTATCTACACCTTCTTCATCCATTTGATTAGAAGGAACATGGAAGGAACTACTGAGCAAATCGTAGACACTGGTAAAACACAACACAGACATTATACTTCAGTGAGTTCAGGTTGAGTCAAATATCTCTGGGTTTTTACTCACAAAGAAAAAACTGATTTTAATGTAAAAATGACCAGTCACGACATTTTCCTTTTCAGTATCTAGCATGGGGCAAGAGATGTATGAACAATAAAACAGACGCAAGTTAAAAACTAAGAAATGTTTTTTTTTATGTCATTATAATTTTTTGTAATTGTATTTTGAAGTACCTTTAAATGACCCAACCAGGAAATACCTTGTGACCTTTCAATTAGCTCCATGCTGTGTTTGCTGTGGTTAAAGGATTTGCTATTTTGAGAAATCCAAGGCTTAATTAAGGAAAAGTATTCACTTCTTAAAGTTCAGCTAGTTTTATTTTTTATTCTTTCTTTAATTATTTTCCCTTTCAAGCTTAAAACTTGTTTCAGCTGAATATCCACACGGTCAGAATTGTTTTTAGATACATTAAGGTTTAGATGCTATGTTGGATTTGATCAGATCTATCATTTCTAATAATGTTTTTAAATGTTTAACAGAAAACAATGTGTCATGTTCACAAACCTGTACCTCTACTTTACAATTTCACCTTTAGAAAAGCTGTCTCAGACAATGTTTTCAATGTCGCTTTAAATGAAATACCAAGAAGTATTAGGAAGTAAATGTCTCCTCTCAGTGAGTTACTTCTTTAATCCTAGCTGTACTTTGATCTCACGTTAAAAATAACAAAAGCTCTGACATCTTTAATATCCGTTTTGTCTGTCTACGCTAGTTTTTTAAAGATAAAACATACAGTACTTGTTCAAACAAACAAAATGATTACACAAACTGGACTCTTTGAAAAAATTCAGGTATACAACTTTTAATGATGTTAAACTGTGGAAATTCATGTGTTTCAGGTGAACAGTTGCTGTTCAGTGCTGCTATCTGTTCATTAGTCTGCTCTCTTGTTTCAGGTTGACAGTCTTGCTGCTCTCATCCTGTGCTCTGGAGTTGTTGTGGCGGCAGGCAACGAGCCATTCAGGTTAGGGAGCTACAACTTTCAGAGAACTACCCAGACAGCTCAGATCCTGTTTGTGGAAGATGTGGAACCACCAACACTGCAACGTGGAATTCGTAAGTGTTGGAAAAGTTCCCTATGTACTCTCTAAAATGACATAATTTTATATATCTTACTTTTTTCATGAATTAAATTTAACTTATTTGTACTGCATTTGCAGTAATTTGAAATATAGAAGGAATCCAAACACGCGTGTCAATCAGGAAAAGTGTGTAAATCAGTGTGTTAATGTGTTGCTTTTTTTTTAGCTTGGTTTTCTGTAGCTGACTAAGTAAAACAAACAAAAATGGACAAACATTTCATCTCATATGTAAAATTCCATAGTTGCTCTTTGTTTAAGCTCGGGTACATAGAGTCAATAAGACAAATAAATAAATAATAATAATTATATATATATATATATATATATATATACATATACATACACATATATACACAGTAGTCCCTCGTTTATCGCAGGAGATCTATACCCTGAAGACCCGCGATAAGTGAAAAACCGCAAAGTAGGAATAGTAGTACAAGTAGTAAGTAGTTTATCTTATTATTTATATAGATATATATTAAGGTGTTGAAACACTTCCCACACTCTTGCAATATTCTACACAATGGTTCTAAACTCTAAACGCTCAGAAAGAGCACAGAATGTCATGATTTCAGCTCCCTGCCTCCTCTGCTTTTGGCCACCTGCAAGCAGTCTTGGCCACGCCCACTTCTTTGCACAGCGAACAGCTGATCAGCTGCTTCAGGAAGTTTATCCTGCAGTGTGGGCTGCACAAAGCTGCCGGAGGAAGCTTTTTCTGCATCTCTGGGCTGCACAAATGTGCAGCAGGTGCTAAATAATTAAAAATAATTGATTTCTAATAAAAATTCCATGCCGGTCGTGCTGCTCATCCATCAATCAGCCAATTGTGTGTCATGTCCAATCTCATTTTGAAAAA